GTCAATCACAGATACTTAACTCTGAACCTTTATAAGCTTCTTTTTTTATTATTCAAAAATCACTCACTATTAACATCCATTATATACCACTGGACATAAGAAGAGGGCAGGCAAGAGTTCCTGTCTGGAAGGAAAGTGTGGTCCCTTAAGTAGGCGGGGCATGTATACAAATGCAAAGCTCACATCTGAAGATTACTCGCCAAAGCTTGTCTACTTCAAATGGTTGGGCTATTTATGCCTGCTGGCATTTGGGAAAATATATAAACATATAGGAACTAAGGTAAGTCCTTTCTCCTCTGCAGGCAGGCTCAAGGATACTCAGATCTCTGCAGACCCAGGTGGGAGACCCCTACCTGCTAGCTCTTTGCTAATGCACAGAATGGGACCAACTGACTGTCAAAACAAGCTCTCCTCTTAAGAGCACAAGAATCTTCTAGCTCAATTGTAAAATCAACTTTCAAAATTCATCTTTCACATCAGAAATCCAGATTTAGGGCCTCCCCTGGTGGTGCAGGCAGTTGAGCACAGTGCTGTGAAGCTGTCCGCAGCCTCTGCAGTGCGGGTTTGATCCCAGCTGGTGAGATACCCACATGGCGCAGCAGACCTCTCCTGTCTCGTCTGCTGCTCCCCTCAGCAGTGTATTTCAGTCTGTCTGCCTGTTCTGCTCCCCACTCTGTCTCTGGTGAATCCTCTCACCCTCCCCCATATCTGGCCTGTACCCCGGTTCTTGTATGCATAAATAAATAAATATAAAAAAAAAAAAAACCAACAAAAAACAACAGGGCCTCCCCTGGTGGCGCAGCGGTTGAGCGCTGGGCTGGGAAGCTGCCCGCAGCCTCTGCAGCGTGGGTTCGATCCCTCACTACCGGCGAGGGTCCCACATGGCACGACAGACCTCTCCTGCCGTGCCCGCTGCTCCCCTCAACAGAGTATTTCGACAGTCTGCCTGTTCTGTTCCCCGCTCTGGCTCTGGTGAATTCTCTCACCCTCCCGCGCTGCTGACTGTACCCAGTGCTTGTATAAATAAATAAATAAATCTTAAAAAAAAAAAAAAAGAAAGAAATCCAGATTTAACAGCTTACTTCTCATTTTTATATGACAAGTTCTTTCTCTTTGTTCTTTCCATCAACAAGATTGGACTAGCCAACAAAAACAAGCTTGGTATAAAATACAGCTGTAAGTCACAATAAAAGTACAAATAAATGGCATTAACTGGGACAACCAATTTAAATGTAGTTAAAAGTAATTATCTTTAAAAACTAGTTGAATAAGTAATTTCCACGGCATTTCTAATTAATCCTTATTATAGTCCTGTCAGGTAGGTATTATTAACTTCATCTGATAGATGAGAAGACTGGCTGGGAAGGGGAAATGGCTTATTCAAGATTCAGTTATAGCAATAAGAGTAACATAAGCTTTCACTCCAGTCTCCTTAATTACTCATCCAATCAGCTGGCAAATCCTATATATTCTATCTTTATAATTTCACTCCAATTCAGCCCCTCTCCTATGTAGCCACTGCAAGCCCCTCGTTCGGAACTTTATCAACACCAGGCACACAACTCTTGGCTAACTGGTTCTCCTGCTCATCCAGTCATCTCGTATTTGCACCAGATTGGTCTCTTGGAAGCACTTCCACATCCTTACTCAAAAACCTTCCATAAAGTGATTTCTCAGATGGGACCTTCAAGTGTTCTCCCAACTGTACTCATTCCCACCCATCTTCACCCACCAAACACTCAAAGCTTCAGCCGCATGGACACGCATGCTTTTATCCAGACATTTTGATCTTTCCCATCACTCCAACTTTGTTTTGAGAAATGACTTTCCTAATTCTTCCCAGGGAGATGGTGGCAAAAGGAGGGGAATCAAAGGGGTGGAAGTGGAGAGGAGAAAGGGTAAGGGAATGACGGGGATGTGATGGTGTGCACACATCAGTGAATCTTCTCCTCAAAACAGACAACAATAAAAAAAGTAGACAAAACTATCAGTCATTTCTGAGTCCTAGAAATCAAAGGCAGAAAATAAAGAGACATTTCTTGAGAAATTGTCTGAGCTTAGGGCAAGACCAGTAGGAGTCTACAAATTTACTGCAGGGGCTACTCCAACCCCCTGACCTAGCCCTGAGCTGCTGAGGAGAACTTATTTTTATTAGGATGGGGCTGTGTCCAAGAAAACCTGTAGTTTTACTACCAGAGAGGGTAGCATTTGGAGGGGGTTGGAGGCGCAGCAGAAAACCTGGAGCTTTGTCAGCTAAAAGTGGCAAACCTGGTAGGGGCTGAACGGGAGAAATACAGCTCTCCTGGTTTGAGGTTGTGGTCTGACTGAGGCAAGGGGCTGACCAGCCAAAAATCTGAGAGGAGATCCTGAAAATGAGAGAATTCTAGAAGAGCTAGAAATGCCCCCCGCACACATCCCTGGCAGACAGCAACTTCATGGATGAGAAAACAGGAAAAAGCCCAATAAAAAGGCTAAAATCCAAGGCAGATCTGAGAACTGAGTGAACTCTGGATGTGCTTCCCAATCCATAAAGATGGATAACAGGGAGCAGAAGCTTCAAAATTCAAGGTGCTTAAACAAACATAAGCTCTGTCCAAATCACTGGCTGACCACTAAGCTGTGGAGACATAGCAGTGACTCTCAGCAAGCCAAAAAGCAAAAAAGAGAGCAAAATATCAGTGGTTGCACACCATGGCAGAGTCACATGTCACAGCAAATTACTTAAAACACATTTTATAATAAAATGTTCAATTTATTATAAAATTACTAGACATGAAAAAAACCAGTAAAGGGTGACCAGACTTAAATAAATAAACAAACAAATAAATAAGAAAGTAAATAAAACCAAGCAGTAACTAGAAACAGATTCTGAGTGGGCCTGGATTGCAGTAAGATTTAACAGACAACTTCAAAGGAGCAATTACAAATATGTTCAAACAAATGAAGGAAATATGATGCCATGCAAGAAATCTCAATGGACAAACAGAAATTATAAATGAAAATTCTAGAGTTGAACTAACTGAAATTAAAAATTCACTAGATGGGCTCCACAGTTGATTTGATATGACAGAAGAAAGGATAAGTAAATGGAAATTATTTGGCCTACAGAACAGGGAGGAAAAAAATGATGGAAGAAAAATGAATAGAACTTCAGATTAAAAACAAACATATAAATGAACCCAAAACCAAAGCCCAAGTCTGTGGGAACCCCAAGTCTGTGAAAGACCCAGAAGGAGAGGAGAAAGGGAAAGAACAAACATTTGCAGACATGTTTAAAGACTTCCGAAATTTGATGAAAAACATTAATCCCTACATCAAAAACATTAAGAAATTAAATGATATAGTTCTATGTAACTCAGGTTCAAAGAAGAAATCATAAGGAAAAAATTTAAAATATACTGAACTGAATATAATGAAGGCATACTAGATCACATTTATGGGTTATAGCTAAAAACAAAAACTTATAGGAAAATTTATAGTCTTGAACACTAGGAAGGAAGTCTAAAAGCAATCATGTAAGTCTGCAACTCAAGCTAAGAAAATAAAAACAATTCAAACCCTATACTAGAAGAAGCAAAGAAATAATAAAGATAAAAATGGCAATCATAAAATATAAAACAATACCACAGATTAAAAAAACTATTGTAACCAATAGTTTTCTAGTATTTATAGGTTCAACCTGTGACTGTGTGAAAAAAAGCTTGTACTGTGAGGTTTTTTATGGGGCAGTCAAAAAGAAATCTAGTAACTAGACACAGCTCTTTCTATGCATATACAGAAGACTTTTGCCTTGGGATACCACAAAAATCTCAGACATGATCCCTCTATGCTTATTCCTCTGTGGTGATATATAGCTATTGTTAACTCATGACATTCCATTTATTTTAGCAAGTTAGTAATAAGTGGCGAAGCCAACGTGGTAGGCTGGGGTCAGGGATTAGTAAACCAAGTATGGAATTTGGATTTTATTATGATAGGGAACTATTAAGCAGTAAAATTTACACTATTTGCACCTGTGGGGTGGGGAACTATCTTGGCTGCTATGTGGAGAATGGGTAAGTTAGGCAGCTGTAATACAGGAAATGGGTGATGAGGTTTGGACCACAGAGGTGGCAATGACAACAAATACTTTACATCAATTTAACTCTTCTATTTCCTCACAGCTAGTCAAGGTAGTTTCATCTGTCTTCATTTCACAGATGAGCAAGCCAAGGCAGGGAGGGACTAAATAACTGGTCCATGGTCTGACTCGACCACAGGGGCCACGCCGGGGCTTAAACCGAAGAAACCTGGAAGAAGAGCTGAGTTCCTGATCATGAACGCATTCCCCCCATAGCCTTAGATGAAAAGTAGAGGGTGAAGTAAGAAAATGTTTGAGTTATGCTCGCCAAGACAGGCTACTGGATAGAACACAGGCATGAAGGATATAAAGAAGTAAAGCACAACGGAGAGGTTTGCGTAAGCAGCCAGATGGAGTCAGTAGTACAGTCCTAAGAGGATCTAAAGAGAGGCGGGAGGTACTAGGACCGGCACTACAGCATTTAAAAACTGAAGAGAGGAAAAGGAACCACCAAGAGAAGGAAAGAAAGAACATCCAGTGCTGAGGAAGCAAATGGAGTGTGATGGAAGCCAACTGACCATGTATTCAGAAAGGAGGGGGAAGCTGGGGCAGAACGCTGCTGTGACTGTCACGATGAGAACAGGGAAAGGACCATGAGGTTTTGCAAAGTGAAGATTACTGGTGAAGCTGAAGAACGCAGTGTCTCCCTAAGTTCATTCTCATCCTTGCACTTACCTTGCTCTGTAATCTGTCTCATCTCCAGACTGTAGTTCCTGGGCAGTTACAGTGAGTTTTAATTCTAAATCCCTATTTAGTAGTTATGAAATTACATAAATACATGCCATGCAATGGAAATGCTACACAAATCAAAGGGTTTTCTGGCACGGTGACTGAGGTGAAGATCTCAACAACAGCAGTGGGGGCGTTCCAAGTCACCTACCGTAAGAGATCCGTTCTGCGTGCTGGGTGAGTTGCTGCTCTGTTCGCCGTGGGCTTGCGTGCTTCCATAGAGTGTCAGGTTATGCTCACTGGTCTGGCCGGCATAGTCCTGAGTGTGTGGCACTCCGTATTCTGTGGGGATTCCATTCTGTGGAGGTGGTGGAAACGGGATGGTGGTAAAAGGCTGAACCATTGCGTCAGGAGTTGTTGTTGGCTCCTGGTTACCCTAAAACAAACAGTGAGAGGAGAAAAATTAAATTCTCATAATTTTTTTTTCACAATTATTTTATGTACACAAAACTCTGAATAGTCTCTCTCTACTCTGGTAAAATGGGATACTTACTGCCTCAGCATTGGGGGATACTGTCACATAAATACACACAGATGTTCATATGGAGATGCAAACTTGACTTTGCTCAATTTATAATTACTAGACAGGGCCATCACTACAGTTAAAGTTGACTAGTTACTAGTTAAATCAAGTTTTAAAAGATGCCAGGAAAGTCAACAGGAATTGAAATTAGTTTGGGCCACTAGTATTTTCTTCAGTGATTATTAGGGGGAACCAAATCAATTTCATTAAACTATAATTCATATCAACAAGAAGAATGATGTAATAAATTTCTAAAACCACACAATATTAAGCCTCTAGATTTTTAAGAGCACAGTATTCAAAAGAATACTAAAAAGTAATCTTTGGGGCCTCCCTGGTGGTGCAAGGGGTTAAGACGCAACCTATGAAGCTATACGTAGCCACTGCAGCAAGAGTTTGATCCCTGGCCAGCCAGGAAGCTCCCTACATGGCTCAGCAGACCTCTCCTGACTCGCCTGCTGCTCCTCTCAGCAGTGTACTTCGGTCGATCTGCCTGTTCTGTTCCCCACTCTGTCTCTGGTGAATCCTTTCACCTCCCACACCTCTGGCTTGTACCCCAGTTCTTGCATGCATAAATAAATAAATCTTAAAAAAAGTAATCTTTGGATTTCAAGGTAGAGCTTTATTTATGTCTTGGCAATTGGGTTAATAATTTAGAAAACCTTTCCTTTAATTAGAAATAGACAAAAAATTCCCAGACCAAAGAAAATGTGAAAGTGTTTTTCATAATTACTGCTAGCATAATAAGGCTAACAACCCAGCAGGGCACCTCTCCACAGGACACCCCTTCCTAGGTGCTTATTAGGGATCCAGTGTGATGTCTGAACCACATCAACAGAGAATATGCAGTTACCAAGGAAACTGTCAGGGCTTGTTCTAGCTCCGTGTCCTCCTCTTACCTTCTCTTCTGTCTTCAAGTTGTAAAAGAGGAGTTTAAATCTTGTGTAATATAATTTGCAAAGCCCTCACCTTCCCTTCATCTCAATAAGTGACCTCCTGACCTTCCATTTTATTTCATGAAATGCAAAGTCATTGTTTTTCTGGAGATCCTTCAGAAAGTAGATGGCAGATACAGCCAAAAGTATCTAAATGTTAGTACTCTGATAAGCTTTTCCCCCTCACATAAACCATCGAGACGTACGGTAGGGACTAAAGAAAATCTGAGTTTATGTCACCTGGTTTCCTCTTAGTCATGGGCGATCCCTCCTTTCTCTCTCAATCCCAATTAGCCTAGCCTTCTTTCCTCTCAGTTCAAGAGGGGATTTACCACTGAGACATTGAACTTTCATCAGCACTTTCTAAACAAATGTGTCTCAACTTTAACTTGATGGCCATTAAGGTGATACTACCTCCAATAAAATGAGTCCAAAGCTGCAGAAAGATCTCATACTATTTTTAAGGAAGATTCAATCATCGTTACTACAATCGGTTGTTTTGCATAAAATAAAACAAGAAATTTACAAGGGCTGTAATAAATGGACTGAAAACCTCAATATTCTTGAGATGACCATACACACCAAGCCCCATAAACCATAATCAAAATCTCAGCAGGTATTTCTGTAAAAATTGACACGTTATTACTAAAATTTATATGGAAATGCAAAGGACCTAGAATAGCTGGAATAATTCTGAAAAGAATCAGAATAGGAGGACTTACACTACCTGATTTCGAGAATTACTATAAAGCTATAGTAATCACAACAGCGTGGAACTAGGTTAAAGACAACAAATAGAGGATGAAACAGAAGAGAACCTGGAGGCAGACACATGCAGACACTGTCAGTATTATGAAATCAAGTCAACTGAGCAGGAAAAGGAAAGCATTTTAACAAATGATAAAAATGAATACCTGGATGGACAAAAATAAATATTAACTCTATCCCACCTACAAAAAACTTAACTTGAGTGAGATAAGGGATTTTAATAAACCTAAGAGCTAAAACTATAAAGCTTCAAGAAAAAAAAAAACAACAGGAAAATCTTTACAACTTGCAACAAGCAATTCATGGGACACAAAAACCAAGAACTATTGAGGAATAAATGCTTATTAGCTGAAACTTAACAAAATTTAAAAAAAAAGTCTGTTTTTTTGAAGGTACCATTACAATAATAAAAAGAACAGAGACTGGGAGACTGTACTCACAATATGTGTATATGACAGGACACAAATCCAGAATCTAAAATGAGCCATTACAAATCACAATAAAAAGAACAAAGCATTTTTAAATGGGCTAATGACTTTAACACATGTTTTCCACAAAAAGGTGCGTCAATGGACAGAAAATTCATGAATGGCGGCTAAAAGGCATTAGTCAGCAGGGACGTGAAATGACAACCCAACTGAAAGAGACACCATTTCACAGCCACCACAAGCTGGAAACACTGAAAATACAATGTTAACAAGGGTGGGGGGACAAGCAGAACTTGGATATGTTGCTGAACTTGGACATGAGTGTAAAATGGAAACAATTCCATGCTAGAACAGTTTTGCAGTTTCAATTTTTGAGAAAGTTAAACTACTCCTTGTATTTATCCAAAAGGAATAACGGCCAATGCATACAAAAACACCTGCACAGAATGTTTGGAGAAGCCTATCTGTATGAGCCCAAAAGTGAAATGCTCCACAGGAAGGAAGAAAAAGAGGAATGAACTCTTGGAGCTCACAACACTGGAAGAATCTTTGAAATGCACACACTGTATAATTCCATTCATATGAAATATGAATAGGAAAGATGAGTCTATGGTAACAGAAGTGATGAAGAAGTCTTCCCTTTCTTGGGGATTGGGAGGGGACGTATTGATGGAAATTTAATGCTATTGAATGCTTTAGGATGGATGCTGTATGTTTTGTTCTAGGAAAGTGGTGGCAAATTGTTAAAACTCATTAAACTGAATAATTGCTATGTATGTTATTATACGTTAATTATATAACGAAAGATAAACTGGGAATAAAAAACCATCAATAAACATATTCAACTGTGAAATACTGTTACTATCATTAAAAATCAGAAGACAAATGCACCATCACTAGCATTCCTTTTACATACAATAAAACTGAAATAAAGATTAAAAACCCTAAGAGACAAATAGCTACACTTAAAAAGCCAAAATAATTAACCACCAACTAGTAGGCCTAATAAATAAGTGCTGTCAGATTATGATTATTTTTAAATTAGCAATAACCAGTTACCCTAAAGAATAACAAAGTTATTTACAATATCAAATAAGACATGAATTTAAAAAGGTATTTTTTGTTTCTGGAGGAATGTTTGATATAAAAATGTTAATCCTTCTCAAAATAAAATATACACCTAATATCCTTTGCAAAGAAAAGCACATAGTGTTTGGGAAGGAAACAGGACCAAGTAGTTTTCTAATTTGTGTATGAAAAAGACTACAAAAGTTTGGGGGGAAAAGACTATGAAGTGGAGCATGTTCGATCATGTAGTAAAATTTGCCATGAAACACAGACTAAATAGCAAACACACATAAAGCGATGAACACAACACTGATAATCCTCAAACAGGTTGAGTTTACAGAGCAACTTGACAGAAGATAAAGGTGGCATGTCAATTCAGTGGGGGAGGAGGTGGTGGTTTTATTGATTATACTGTATTTATAAATTGGCTGCCCACTAGAATGAAAATAAAATTAGCTTCTCAGTTCATGCTCCATTCCAAAAAAATTTAGAAGGACTGAAATATAACAACTAAACCCAAAAAAACCCACTAAACTTGAGAGTATAACTGGGGTGTGAGGGATTCTTAAGACCGCAAACCTAAAAAGCATAAAGGAGAAGAAGATTCGATTTGGCTGCGAAAGTCAGGACTGAAAGGGGGGGTGAAAGGGGGGTGGGGTGGAAAGAGACATCAGATCCAAAAGAAGAACCAACTGGAAGAAAAATATTTTTCGACAGGTGAGACAGACACTGGGCTATTATCGCTAATGCAAGAGTAAATCATACAGAGGGACACGCAAGACACATGACAGGACAGGAGGGAAAGCTCACAGTGGCTGAGGGGATGCATGCTCAGTCTCACCAACAAACAAAAATACATGCTAAAAAGGAGAGAAGTCCAACTCTTCTAGTCGTCCAATCAACACAGAAATTTAAAACCAATTTTATTGAGACATAATTGACATACACAATAAATTGCACCTGTGTCCTTACAATGTAAGATGTAGCAAATTTTGACACAAGCACATACACGCTCGAGAAAAGAGCACCACAATGAAGTCAGTGAAGGGATAATCTATGGGCAACTCCCCCCCAAGTTCCCTCAGGCTCCCAATAAGCATGTATTGTTTTTGTAATAAGTCAGTAAAGTCTACTTTTTAATATGTAAGAGAATGGAGGAAGTCAGTTTGCTGAAGCTTTGAATTACTGGGCTATTAAGAAAATGGCAGTGACACACCTGGAGACCAAAACTCCTGTCTTCCATTTTGAAGTCACAGAGCATCATAATTTGGCCATCTCCAATGTCCAAGAATCATTTCATTATGGTACTAAGGATTGCTTTATATAAAAAAAAAAATCCTCCCTTTGTTCAGTTCTTAGAAATCAATACTATGAAACCTTTAATTTTTCAGAGAAAAATTAAAAATTTTAATTCTCCAGAGAGTCTTTGTTGTTCATCACTGTGTAAGTTCTTCCCAAGACATCTGATCCGGGGTGCTGTGTTCGATTTCTCCTCAGCTATTCTGAGGGCCCAAAGAAGGACAGATAATAAAATAACTCTCCTTCAAACTATTCAGCACTTCACTTACCTACCTACCTACTTACCTACCCATCAACCTTCCTAACTGAATAAAGCAGACTGGCTCAGAAACTCTCACAGGAGTTGCTGGTCTGA